AGGTGTTGGAAGAATGAAAAGAAAAAATGTAAGAAACCATATAGTGTTTAAAAACCAATAATGAATCCTCCTGTTTTACTTTACGCTTTTCAAACATTTATTAGAATTTCTTTCTAGGTCATTACAGTGAGATGTTTGGTGGTGAAACGTGGTGGTAGACAGAGTGAAAAAGAAAAGAGGATAGAAGTCGAACCTATGAGAAAAGTAATTGAAGTGATTAAAACTAGAGAGTACAGATGCGTGATCTTATTTGCTCTTACTAAATTCAATAATGTTAAACATTTATCTGAGAGACTTGCTGACAATGTCTATAAGAAAAAGCAGAAAACCAAGGAAGAAAATGAATTTCCAAACTTTGTAAACTGTGGAAGAACTGGCATGTCCTGGATGGAGAAAGAAAAGAAAGGAACTGGGTCAGAGCACATTTTCACATGTCTTTGAGCAAAATGATTTTGTTAACTAGGGATAATGAGCATCTCTTTCTTTTCTTTCCAAAATTTTAAAATGTAAAGTTAGCAGGAATCTATTCTAAGAGCTTGCCTAATTCTAATTCCATATAGATCAAGCCATTCAAATGATGATTCCATCAAATACTACAGAATCTGAATTTGTCACCTATCATAATCATTTCAGCAGTCTAAATAAATGATGGCTATAATCATGTCATTATTATTTGTGTGAGTAATAGCTAGACCAGAACAGAGAACTCAAAGTGGACTATCTTCTAATGGCAATGGTCTTAGGAGAGCAGTACTCTTTCCATGGAGGGTCTGTGATGCCTCAAAGTGCCCAAGCACCAAGAACCTAGCATCTCCCTCTAGAAGCCAGCCAGGGACTGTAGCTCAGAGCCCTCAGATGGATAATCAAGAAATTTGAAGACTTAAGACAGGAGCTGGGTAAGTTTCTAGATTTGCTGGTATAGCCTATTTGTATTATTTTGCCTTATTTGCTCTTTGAGGGATTTTAAACTAAGTACGTTTTGTCTTTGACCACATTTCTCCTTTTCTCAGCTTTAGCTCTCATTGCTGGAGTCTGCCCCTCTCCTGCTGAGCTCGTCTGCTCTTTACCTGTCCTCTGCAGCAACCTATCCAAGCTAATCCTTCTTGGGCAAGAACCAGGTTTAAAATAGATCACTTATTTCTTCATTGTCAAAATTCTCATTTCTTGCATGCATAAGATATCAGCTAAGGAAATCATCTGGTAACTTGTTTGTCTGTAAGAGTTAATGGAGCATCCTTTCCTTAATAATGTAAGTAAAACTAGGGAGTGCAGTACATTAGCCTAAAATAAGGCAACTGTAATGCTGGGTGCTAGTAGAAAATAATTTTGGGGCACTGGGGCTTTTAAGACTGCACATCTGAACAAGCTCCCAGGCTGCCATTTCTTCTCCTTCATCACAATTTTCCATCTAACTGACCATCGAGGTCTCCTTCTGCATTCAATAATCCAATTTTACTTTACCTTCATTTTTCTTATCTTTATATCAATTTTCTTTCTGATTTTAAAAACGTACTTAACTTCTTTTTATTAAAAAATGTCCTTCTAGCCCTCTTGCTAGACTCTGCCTATATGTAAACCATAACAGAATTTCATACTTTTTTTTCTGAATGACAAAAAAACCTCTTCTGATTCTGCTAAACTCTATTTCTTATAAATTCATTATCAACTTTACCACCATTTCTTTTGCTATTCTCATTTGTTATTTTGGCCATTCAAATTTCAATGTAAAGGAAGCACCACTTTTATTTTCACTTCATAGTTTATTCCTAGTGTTATTCTTGCCTCATGGAAGCCTTAAAAATCTTTTGGCTACAAGGATTCTTTTTCCTTAGTGATCAGAAGGAATTCTTTTTGCCTTATTTTTCTGCTCATTCCTACATAAATTTTTAGTAGTTAGTTAATAGTTCATGACATGGAAGTTTGGTTATAACTCACAAAATGGTTCATACAACTCTTACTTAAAATTCTTCTGATAACCTTAGAGTCCCATTTTATATATGGTCAATTTCTTATTTCATTATTTTATTCCACATAATTTATATCTATTATTTTTTCCTCTTTGTATTGTCTCTAGGTTTTAGCAGAGTACTAGGCACTTTATTGATGCTGAATATATATTGGTTCAATGAATAGGTGAATAAGTCAAGAAACCCTCTAAGCATAATTTTTCAGCTGCTTTTCAGTAAGCAGAAAGAATTATGATACATGAAACCTGCCCCAAGTATCTTATCATATAAATGAGGAGATAAAACCCATACATATTTATTACAAAGCCACTGAAAAATTAGTTTGACAGAAATTATAGATATACAAATTCAGATAAAGGAAGAAGTCATAATACTAAGAGAATTCCTGAAGGTGGAAACTAAACTAGAAACAAAGAGAGTGTTTGCCACTCCCCATGGATTTGATGACTATAGCATTTCTTCAAGTGTTCTTATCTTTTCTAGAGAAGGAAGATATGTATTTAACAGTGCAAAATTACATATTCTGTCATGAATATGGACTCCACAAACGCAGGAATTCTTATCAATGCTGTACCCCCAATGCCTTTAATGGTGACTGGCATTAAGGGCACTCAAAAATATGTATTGAATCAATGAACAAAAACCATTCAGAGAACCACTCAGGAGTCAATTATATGTCTACTCGTCTAAGAATATATTGAGTGGCTGATTATCATAGGTTCCCTATAATCAGTGGATATCAGTTGTTCAGACTTAGCCCTACTGTAGTTGGAGTCAGAAGCCACTTTTGTGTAGTTTTAGGGAAAAAGTCGGGATGCACTATTTATCCTTCCTCCTTCAACATCTCTTCCATATTCCCAGCCAGCTATCTGAAATGCCCTCTAGCTGGTTCATTACTCTTTTTAGGATTTTCCTTTTTCTCCTAAAATATTGGTTCACATGTAAGAAAGAAGTGGTATATAGAACAAAGGTCCCCGACAATATCCATGTCTTCATCTCTGGACCTGTGAATATGTTACCTTACATGGCAAAATGGACTTTGCAAATGTGGTTAAGAATTTTGAGAGGGGAAAATTATCCTGGATTATCTGGGTGAGTCCAATGTAATCACAAGGGTACTTATAAGAGGAAGGCAGCAAGGTCAAAGTCAGAGAGGAGATGCGATGACAGAGGTCGAGTTTGGGGTGATGTACTTTGAAGACGGAAGATGGGATCATGGATCAAAGAATGCAGGCAATTTTGGAAAAGAAAAAAAGAAAAGCATTCTCTCCTAGATCCTCTAGATGGAATGCAGCAGCTCTGCCCGTGCTTTGATTTTAGTTCGGAAGACGCATTTTGGTCTTGTCATTACCGGAACAGGGAGGTAATACATATGTGTGTTATGAAGTCACTGAATTTCTGGTAATTTGTTACAGCAGAAATAGGAAACTAATAGGCTATTGATGCAAAGAAATTTCAATCAGGGGTTTTTGATCCTAGTGTTAATCTCCCACCAATTACTTTGTGATAATGAGCAGGTCACTTCTATGTCTCTTTCTATATGAATTTTTTCACATTTAAAGGATGAATGTCTTACTAAGTCAGGAACACCTCATTAAAGAGTGGACCTTTGATAGTTATCTCTGGCAATATTTTTTTCCCTCGGGAATTATAATTTTGTCCTTACCTCCCCGCACTGGGATCTGGCCACTCTCCTTTTTCTGGACTTTATAACTCAATCATTGCCATCTCTCAATTACAGTCATAGGTTTTATCTGGCTCTTTTCACCCAGTATTTTATTTCTGACACTCTTTTAACCATTCCAAATGTATTTTTAAAAAGAAAAAAGACTGCTTTTATGTGGCAGAATTTTTATCTTTGGAGATCCAATGAATGTCTGTGTGTATATATATGTACATATATATATAAGTAGAATTATACTAGAGCAAGACATTATTTGTCTCAGCTCATCGCATATTTTGAGTTAGAAATTGAGACTTTGGGAGGGAAAGTGAGCATCATTTATAAAATAAATTTTTTTTTCTAATTTGAAATATATCAAAGTCCCTTATTGGTTATTTTGAATTAATAATCAATACCCAGTATTTCTTTTGATGACAGAATTTTCTTCTGCAAAGCTTACATTCTATAGTTAAACAACTGCAGGAATGAGGCTTGAGAGCCTCTGATAACTCCTGGTTGGCAACACAAACATACTATTAATATGAACCTGACTGAATTATGATATACTCTCCTGACTCCAGGGTCGTTCTTCAGTCTCATTAGTTTCTTCCTTCATTCGACAATTGTCAAGTACTCATTAAACAACTGGTTGTGTTAGTAACTCTTGGTGATTGTGATGGTGGTAGGGGCTACTCAGATGAACTGGATATGATTCCTGTGCCCAAGAAGCTACATTTTATTTGAAGACATGGGAATTTATATAATCATGAGAGGCAGAGTGAAATAAATGCTGAAAGTGTAGAGGTAGTGTGGAGACTTGGGCAGATCTGGAAGACTTCACAAATGAGAGAGGATTTAAGCTGAGATGCTTAGAATTGAAACTTGTGAAATAGAGAAAAGAATGAGAGAAATTTTGAAAGTTGAAAGACAAAAATTTGAAAGTTTAATTGAACAATATGAATAACAGAACAGAGCCTTTGACAGCTGTATCCTGTGAATGAGGACTAGGTAGGTGGTTCAAATAAATGGCTGAAATCATATCCATTTTAAGAAATCATGGTCAAAAGTGTTTGAAGATAACCTTATATGTTTTTGAAGTTGAACACACTGGGGAGGAAGAAATAGGAAATATCCATGCAATAGTAAAAGAAAGCAGAAGGGAAATAGGTCAAGAGATAGAATTAATTTAGTAGTAGTTTTGAAAACCAATGTGCTGTATGGGAACCAGTTGACTCCTCTAAGTGGAAGTCAAATATGTGTGAGATGTTAATATGCTAATTATTTTCATGGACTGGAGGCTTGCTTTCTTGAACACATACTTGTCTAGGCAACTCTTATTCGTTTTCTTTGTCCTTTAGGTAACATGAAAACTGATCCTGAAGTGTGAGGCAATGGATGGAAGGAATCACTCCACAGTATCAGAATTTGTGTTCCTGGGACTCACCAAAGCATGGGAGATCCAGCTTCTCCTTTTTGTCTTCTCCTTTTTGTTCTACTTTGTAAGCATGATAGGAAACCTTGTCATTGTGTTCACTGTAACCCTGGATGCTCATCTGCACTCCCCCATGTATTTCCTCCTGGCCAACCTCTCAGTCATTGACATGATATTTTGCTCAATCACTGCTCCTAAAATGATTTGTGATATTTTCAAGAAGCACAAAACCATCTCCTTTTGTGGCTGTATTATCCAAATCTCCTTTATTCCTGCTGTTGGGAGGAACTGAGATGGTGCTGCTCATAGCCATGGCCTTTGACAGATATGTGGCCATATGTAAACCTCTCCACTACCTGACCATCATGAGTCCAAGAATGTGTCTTCGATTTTTAGTCACTTCCTGGATCATTGGCCTTATCCATTCATGGGTTCAATTAGTTTGTGTGGTAGATTTGCCTTTTTGTAGCCCTAATGTACTGGATAGTTTTTACTGTGACCTTCCTCGGCTACTCAGACTCGCCTGCACAAACACCCAAGAACTGGAGTTCATGGTCACTGTCAATAGTGGGCTCATTTCTGTGGGATCCTTTGCCTTGCTGGTCATTTCCTATGTCTTCATTCTGTTCACTATTTGGAAACACTCTTCTGGTGGTTCATCCAAGGCCCTCTCCACTTTGTCAGCTCATATCACTGTGGTGGTTTTGTTCTTCGGGCCTCTGATGTTTTTCTGCACATGGCCTTCTCCAACATCACATCTGGATAAATATCTTGCTATTTTCGATGTATTCATCACTCCTTTTCTGGATCCAGTCATCTACACATTCAGGAACAAAGAGATGAAAGTGGCAATGAGGAGACTGTGTAGTTGTCTTGTACATTATGAGAGGATTTCGTAAATGTATGGCTGTGAAAATATGAAGCTGTAGATTTGCCCTCATGCTGCTTGCAGAAAAGACATTATGCATTTTCAGAGAATTACTCAAGACTTAGGCCATATTACATGCCTAGAAATCTACTGTCTATTAAAATATGGTCTCTGTTTCGCCATTAAATTAGAAGTGATGTTCTTTGACGCTTGTTCCTCAAATGTTTAAAATCAAACCATATGTCCTTTGCAACCTACAAGCTCTAGGAGAGTGCCATGTAATTGAGCAAATAATAATATTTTCTCTTTTCCTATTTTGGACACATTATTCTCTTAATAGACAAACTATGCATTCATGTTACCTTTCATCTACTTATTACCTATCTTGATTTTAATTCTGTTTGTTCCAACTCTATTTGCTTCTTATTTCCCCAGCTTATACATAGTTTGCCTCCTTATCAGGCTCCTCTATCTGGAAGTCTGGGAAATTGTTAATCCTATGTTAGAATTTTAGAATTTAAAGCTAGGATGGATTACCAACACGATTTGTTGTAGTCACCTCAGTTGCACATGCTAAAACCCAGGAACTGAGAGATGACCGTAATTTGCCCGAGGGCGTACAGCCAAAAATCACCAGAGAGAGCCAGTCTCTAGAAAACATGTCTCTGGTTGCCAGGTCAGTGCGCTTACACTTTCAAATCAATTTTGTATTTGAATTTCTGCTCATATTCCTCCTCTTTCAGCTTTTGCCTGTAAATCTATTTGAAGACAGAGCTCTACACCTCTCGTTTGTATTCCTTCTTCCTAGTAAATTGTCATTAGCATTTAGCACTTCTTTATCATTTCTAAATTCTTTCCTAATCTCTACCACTATGATACATTTCTTTTTTTTAATTTTATTGTATTTTATTGAGGTAACATTGGTTTATGACGCTATATAAATTTCAATTGTACATCATTATATTTCAACTTCTGTATAGACTGTATCATGTTCATCACTAAAATTCTAGTTGCCATCTGTCACCATGCATGTGTGTACTTTTACTCCTTTGCCCTCCTCCCTCCCCCTTCCACTCTGGTACCCACCAGTCTGTTCTCCACATCAAAGTGTTTGTTTGTTTATCTTTCACATATGAATGAAATCATACAGTAGTTTTCTTTCCTTGTCTGATTTATTTCACTTAGAATAATACCCTCAAGGTCCACCCATGTTGTGCAAATGGCATGATTTTCTCTTTTTCATGGCTGAGTAGTATTCCATTGTATGTATACATACAACATCTTCATTATCCTTTCATCCATTGATGGGCACTTAGGTTGCTTCCAAGTCTTAGCTATTGTGAATAATGCTGCAATGAATATAGTGGTGCATATTTTTTTTCAAATTAGTGTTTTCATTTTCCTTAGATAAATACTCAGAGGTAGAATAGCTGGATCACATGGTATCTATATTTTTAATTTTTTGAGAAACTTCCAAACTGTTTTTCACAGTGGCTGCACCAGTTTACATTCCCACCAGCAGTGTATGAGGTTTCTTCTTTCTCCACATCCTCTCCAATACTTGCTATTTCTTGTCTTTTTAATAATAGCCATTCTGATGAGTGTGAGGTAAGATGTCATTGTAGTTTTGATTTGCGTTTTCCCAATAATTAATAATGTTGAACATATCTTCATGTGGCTGTTGAATGTCTGTATATCTTCTTTGGAAAAATGTCTGTTCAGATCTTCTGTCCATTTTTTGATTCAGTTGTTTGGTTTTTTTGTTGTTGAGTTATATAAGTTCTTTATATATTTGGGATATTAACCCCTTACCACATACGTCATTTACAAATATCTTCTCCCAATTGTTAGGTTGTCTTTTCATTTTGTCCGTCATCTCCTTTGCTGTGCAGAAGCATTTTAGTTGGATGTAGTCCCATTTGTTTATTTTTCCTTTTGTTTCCCTTGACTGAGGAGACAATGTTCAAAGAGATACTGCTAAGAGCAATGCTAAAGAGCATACTGTCTGTATTTTCTTCTCAGAGTTTTATGGTTTCAGGACTTAAATTCAAGTCTTTTTAATTCATTTTGAGTTACTGTTTGTGTGTGGTGTAAGATCGCAGTCTACTTTCATTCTTTTGCCTGTGGCTGTCCACTTTTCCCAACAGCATTTATTGAAGAGACGTTTTTTTCTCCATTGTATGTTCTTGTCTCCTTTGTCAAAAATTAGCTGGCCATAGGTGTATGGGTTTGTTTCTGGGCTTTCAATTCTTTTCCACTGATCTATGTGTTTGTTTGTCTGCCAGTGCCATGCTCTTTTGATTACTATAGCTTTGTAGTATATTTTGAAATCAGACAGTGGGATACCCCCAACTTTGTTCTTTTTTGCTTTGCCTATTTGGGATCTTTTGCTGTTCCCCCCAAATTTTAGGATTCTTTGTTCTGTTTCCATGAAAAATATCATTAGAATTCTGATTGGGATTGCCTTGAATCTGAAGATTGCTTTAGATAATATGACATTTGACTATGTTAATTCTTCCAACCCATAAGCATAGAATAACTTTCCATTTCTTTGCATCTTCTTCAGTTTCTTTCAAGAATGTCTTATAGCTTTCAATATACAAGTCTTCCACCTCCTTGGTTAAACTTATTCTTAGGTATTTTATTCTTTTTGTTGCAATTGTAAATATGATTGTATTCTTGATTTCTCTTTGTGCTAGATCTTTGTTAGTGTACAGAAATGCAACTGATTTTTTTATGTTGATTTTATTTCTCGAAACTTTACTCATTAATTATTTTACTGGCAGTTCCACCACCACCCAATTTATTGGGTCTCCAGGCCCCACTGCTGCAGATGGGCGCGCTGAGGTTGCAGGTGACTCTGCAGGTGGGGGAACGTGGGTCATGGGCTCTGCTGTGCTGTTACCCTGCTTTCCATGTGCTCGAGAGCTGCTGCCATATGCACTGCCTGGGTAAATTCTCCCAGGTTATCTGGAGGTTCTGGCGGGACCACCACCAAGGGCGCTGGATTCATGGGTTTCGCTGCATCTGCCCTAGTCTGTGGTTTGCATGCAGGCTCTGCTGCTGGTATGGCCAGTGTGGAAGTGCTACCACTGGCAGCTGGGTCGCAGGTACTCCTAAAGCTCCTGAAGCCCAAGTCAAAGGTGTCACCTGCCACTGCTGGAGCAGAGGGAGGGGCTGAGCTCTGAATGCCACTCCTGCAGCCTCTAGTCTCAGGCACCTGTATGCTTTTTGAAAACTTAGGACATAGGAACCACTCCTTCTTACATTCTGTCTATATCTTAGCTACTGTGAAAATTGTGGCAATGATGATGGGAGTGTAGACAACTCTTCAAGATACTGATTTCATTTCCTTCAGATATATACCATGAAATGGGATTGCTATATCATGTGGTAGTTCAAGTTTTAAATTTTCAAGAAACCTCCGTATTGTTTTCCTTAGTGGCTGTACCAGTGTACTTTCCCACCAAAAGTGCACAAGGGTTGTCTTTTCTCCATATCCTTGTTAGGATTTGTTATCTCTTTTCTTTTTGATAGTAGTCATTCAAACAGGTGTGAGGTGATAGCTTATTGTGGTTTTCATTGCACGTCCAAGATGATTAGTGATGTTGAGCACCGTTTGATATACCTATTGGCCATCTGTATGTCTTTGGAAAAATGTCTATGCAGGGCTTTTGTCCACGTTTTAATTGGATTAATTGGGTTTTTTTGCTATTGAGTTGTATGAGTTCCTTACATGTTTTGCATTTAATCCCTTATTAGATATATAGTTTTCAGAGAAAAACCTTCACATTCCATGACTGCCTTTTCAATTTACTGATTGTTTCCTTTGCTATACAGAAGCTCTTTACTTTGATGTAGCCCCATTTGTTTATTTTAGCTTTTGTTGATTGTGGTTTTGGTGTCTTCTCAAAGAAATCATCACCAAGACTAATGTCAGGAGATGTTTCTCTGATTTCTTCCAGGAGTTTTACGGTTTCAGGTCTTACATTTAAGTCTTTGATCCGTTTTGTGAACTCCCAAAATTTTAATGATGTGGCGATTTCCTCATTCTTCATAGAATATAGTCCCTCCCTTGAAAGCACATGTATATTAACAAAGCATCTCATGTACTTATCATTTTTCCTCACCTGGTTTGATAGTATGATGTCATTAATATAATAGACAATTATGATGATTTGTAAAATATGCAGATTGCCCAGATCTCTTCAGATTATGACAAAGGGTAAAGCTGTAAATGTATGCTATGGTCCATTCCACGTAAATGCTATTTCTTTTTCTCCTTTCTGAAAGAGATGGAAAAGAAAATTTACCAGATCGATGATAACATCATATGCCCCAGGTGATATTAATCTGCTCTGGCAAAGATACTACCTTTGGTACAATTACCAAATTGTACAATGGTATAATTACTTAATTGAGCAAGCCTCAATTAAGGCTAATACTAGGGTGAGTTCACAATAATCCATTGTCATTCTCCAGGAGCTATCTGGTTTTTGCAGGGGCCATGGTGGTGAATTAAATAGAGATGTGATCGAGATCACTTTTCCTTTATCTTTTGTGTATCTTTTTGCTACAGCTACTCCTAGAGAATGTAATATACTTTTTGAAATGCTATCTTGGCCTGGAGATGCAACTGTTTAAGTACTTCCATTTGACAATAGCTGTAACCCACAGAGCTAGGAAATAGTGTGGAATTTTACCAACTACTGAGGATGTCCATTTGAATTATATATTCAGGAAATAGTGTAATGATGACTGGGGGTTGTCATTCAGTGAATCTGCTGTGCACCAGACTTAGACCAAGGCTTCATATATACCTAACTCCCACATGCTTCATTCAAACAAAAGGACCACAATGACTGTTCAGAAATCTGGGTGTATGTGTCAACTCAGACTCTGTCTTCTGCAATCTTCAAAACATTGTGACATTCCTTTTTTTCCTGGTGTATGACTATGCAAATAAATGGTCACTAGTAACTTTGGAAAAAGTACGGTGAGAATCATTGCCATGTATCCTTACTGAGCTGT